TAATTATGCTCTATGGTTTTTTCGATTTTTACTTTTTTGTTTACTTAATTTTAGTGATGTACGGGAAAGAGTTTTTTTAAAAAAAATTGGGGTATGAGAACATTTATATATTTGCTATCTTGTAATAGTATTATTATTTGGATTTGCTATACGCCTTCTCTTACGTAAAGTGAATCCTTGTTGTTTTGAATAATTATCAAGATATTTTTCAGCTATTTTCCATATATTGAATCTTATTTCTGTATTCAACACTAACACTTCTGTCTGTTTCTCATCTTCACTATCATCATCTTCCTCATATAAAATACAATCCTTATTATAAATTTCTTTGTCTACATCATCAACAGTTCTTATATCTCCTTCTGCTGAAGCTTTGCTATATACCTCTATATCCTTATATAAATCTTCGCTATCTGTTTCTGAATAATATTGAAAATAAGAAAATTTGGATGGAATACTGTTATAATTTCTTTCTATTATAAGAGTAAAAAAAAAATTTGATACGAGGTAGAGCATTTTTACATAGTTAATGCCAAAGGTTATAATATAGCATGAATAAGATTAATTTTATTTAAAAATTCCTAAGAACATGAATTGCGTTTATACACAAGAAAATAATACCGAGTTATGTAAAGTAGAGATGGAATTTTATTTAAACGATAGACTTAATATTCTTTTATTTAGTTACAAAGATAAATTATCACTTTTTTATAGATTTTACCAAGTAACATTCAATATATTCTAACATATCAATGCTTTCTATCTATATAGTGAATCACAAAAAAGGTTTTGATATTTTTTAATATAAATTTTCTATTTTATTTCAATCGCCAACTATAATGCTTTTTCTTTTTTATTAACGGCTAATATATCATTCACAATTTAGACGTATAATTTTTTCTGCAAGTTTGAAGTTATATGATTTTCTTTACAATTATCTTGGAACTTTATACAATTGTTATTTTAGACATATCATACGATTTGCTTTTATTTTTACCACAATTCCCTTTACCTTCATATAAACATACGATTTTTTTCTACAAATTTAACATCATACAATTTTTCTTACAATTACCTTGGAACTTTATATAATTGTCTATTTTATACATATCGTATGATTTTCTCTTATTTTAACCGCAATTTCCTTTCTTTTCATATTTGATACACTATATGATTTTCTCTAATCTTATTTTTCACTACCCTACAATCTTTAATAATTATAATGCTTTGATATAGGGAATGTGCAAATGCATATTTTATTGATATTTGTCGTGCTATTACATGTAGAATTATGGTTATATGTTAAAATCACCTCATATCATTAATTAGCCATGGCATATTATACAAGTATAGCAATTGAAATATTGGAATATATGATATAGAAAGATTTACAGATGTGGGGATCGTTATTCCAGCAATTAAAATGTTTGAGTTATAGCATGATTATATAGTTGCGGAAGTTTATGAAAGAAAATGCAGAGTATACAAAGCAGGTTGTATTATTCTGTATAGTTATTTGTTGTCAATTGTTAATTACTTTTTGGTTTAGCGTATTTCTAAATATAGAAATGATTCATCCTATTCTACCACTTCTCTAACCATTCAAAATACTGCTAATTAGGTTTCAAGACCAGGTGAGGTAAAACAACGCAAAAAAAAAAACAATTATAAGAATCACTCATAACTCGACATTTATTTATGAAATTGCTTTTGGCATATTGACTAAACATCTGTATAGTAGTAATATTATTTCTAATCTAACGGCAAAAATTTTTTTTAATGAAGGTTAGTTTAGGTAAACTAAAAAAAAAAAAAATGCTACTTATTGTAATAATCTGATTTCTGCTTTATTTTAAAATACCGATCGATAGGTCTAAAACTAACAAAAATATTTAACGACCAAATCCAAGAGCATCCAACACCCAAGTTCAATATTCAACATCTAAATCCAAGAAAGTTCAACACCCAAGTCCTATAAGGTTCAATGTTGAAATCCAAGATTTAACATTCAGGTCCAAAAATATCCTATTGTTGTGTAGATAAGCGGTACAGGCTGATTTTTAAAATCAGTACTATACTAATTTGGTGTTATATATATTAACATTATGATTAGGAATTGTAACTGATCAGTGTGGTATGGTTTTGAAATTATAGCAGTTCAGAATAATTCTACGTAAAAGCTATGCCATACTCATTAGCAATAATTTCTAATCTAACACTAATATATAACACCGGCTCAATATGATATGACGGCTTCTATCATACAAATATGTTCCTGTTCCCGATTATCATTAAGACCCTAGTATTACTAGTCTAAAAGTTGTCACTACCAGTATTAAGGTTAGGGTTTTGATATTTTTGGTTTGATTTGTATTACGCCTGATCTTAAATTTTAATTTAACTAGTTAATGAAATATTTTGGATTGGCGATACTAGAGTGGTTATTTGCTAAAAAAAATAGATCATAATTATGCAAGTCAAAAATCTGACTATTTCTTTAATCACATTAACTTAATAGCAAATTATGTTGGGAAATATTTTTAGAGTTAGGGTTAGTCTTATAAAAGGTTAGCATTTGTCTAAGTTGGTTGTTAGTAGAAATCATAATTACTTAAGTATTATTACTGTATTATTGTTTTAAAAAAAATAAACTAGTTTTAATTGGTTTCGATTTTTTCAACCTGATTTTTAACCTGATTTCTGATCTGATTTCTGAACTAGATAATATCACCTAGGGTGAAAATTAGCAAAAGTCTTTATTAATTTACTATATAATTTTAATAAAAACCTCTTCGCAATAAATTTTTTTTGACTATACATAACAAACAAAAATTTTAAACTTTAAAAATTAATTTCTCAATAACTATCTCATCAAATTGAGTCGAATTTTTTGTCACTAATATAAAAATCATTAAATTTTAATATATTAAATTTTTGAAATTTTTAATCATGATCTTGATTTTTTATAAATTTTTAATTGAATCCAATTAATTTTTTAATTTTTCGTAAAAAAAATTTTTTAAAACTTAAGCTCTTATCTAAAATTTTTTTTAGTAATTAAAAAATTACCAAAAAAAATACACAATCTAGGCTAACTATTTACTAACTTTTTAAAAAGTTTCAAGGCTGTAGCATCTCTCTGTAAGCAGATATAGGTGTAGGGCTTTTTTTTTGTCTAGTACTATACAATAGGATATTACCAATCTGATGATATCTTCTTGTAAAAAAGTAAAAGAAAAAGAAAATTTTTTAAATAAAATATAAAGATATAGAGGTATATGTAAAAAAAAAAACAAATAAAAAATAAAAGAAGTAGAGAAAAATGAGAAAAACTAAACTAAATATAAGATTTTTTATCTATACTAGATAGTCACAATTATAAGTCTATATTAGGCATTATAAAAATTATATTATTATCTAAACTAGTCTCTATACTAATTTATATAATTAATTGGTGATTTGCCACTCAACCAGAGAAAGCTCATAATATAATATAACACAGTTTATATATAGAAATTAAGATTTTTGGAATATGAGCTGCTTCTATCTAAAACTTTTTTTATACTAAATTAATCACTTTTGGGTTTCTAATTAAAGTTGTAGAGCTTATTAAGACAAATCTAATAGTAGTTAAATCATCAAAATTGGCTTGGTAAATCATAAAATATTTTTAAAAAATAGTTTGCTAACTATATAAATTTCTCTTTCAACAATACTATTGTTGAAAGATAAGTTTATATAATTAGCAAACTATTTTTTAAAGATATTTTATGATTTATCAAGCTGATTTTGACAATTTTACTACTATTAGATTTGTCTTGATGAGCTTTATATCTTCAATTAGAGGCCCAAAAATAATTAACTTAATACAAAAAAAAGTTTTAGATAGAAGCAGCTCATATTTTAAAAATTCTAATTTCTATATATAAACTACATCATATTATACTATAAGCTCTCACTAGTTGAGTAGCGAATCACTAATTAATATATTTAAGCAAAAAATTCAAAAAAAAAAAAAATCAACTTCTTCAATATCAACACTATAGAGAGATCAAAAATTTGTACTATTGAGTTCAAAATATTGTCTGTCTGAATTGCTACATTTGAAGCATATAATCTACAAGTCTACTATTCTATATATATCTATATATTTGTTGTAACAGATAAAAACAAGTAAACAATATTATCTGATTTGATAAATAAATAATATATTGATCTTTTGAAAAAGTAAGCTAAATCATCTACTTCTTAACAAAAATTTTTCTGAAATAAGTAGGGTTAATAAAAGTATGTAAGGTTCTTCTTGTAAGTTTTACAATTGTATAGTCTACTTCTTAGCTTTTACTTGATATTCTTGACTAAAGACTGCTGTGTTTTAATATTGTTTTTAGAATAAACCTTCTAGTTTGAATACCAAACATGCAAGAGAATCTACCAGAAAGAAAACTTGATCTAAGACACAAATCTATTTATCTAATATTTTATACATCTTGCTTCTTGGTGTTTTAACGTATTGTAGGCTTTGTTGACAACAAGTTTGCTTATACAAAATCAAGAATATTATTATGTTTATTTTGTTGTTTTCTATATTGCTAACTATAGTTCAGTAAAATTGTTGTTGAGCAGAGGATTGTCAAAAAAAGTTAATTTTTTTATTTTGGTTCTACAGTTCTGTAGAATTAAAATAAAAAAATTTATTAAATTTGGTTAGATAGTTGTTGTGATATTATTACTCAAAGTTTTAAAAATATTTAAATATTTATTAAAAAGCAAAATTATCTTAGCAACCATCTAGTCAAATTTGATGAATTTTTTATTTTGATTTTACAAAATAGTTAAATCAAAATAAAAAAAATTTATTGAATTAAGTTGGGCGACCATCTAGATATTTTTACTTTAATTTTTAAAAAAATTTAAATTCTATAAGCTATGATATATCAAGAATACTATCTAAATGTAAGGTATA